TTTCCATCCTATTGCTTTTTTTTTTTTTAATCAGATCATGTAGCTTAGCCCAGATCTTAGTTCCTTCAGTAGCCTTAAATTCCTGCTTCTTCTCCCTGGCCCCCCTTTTTAAAAGATTTATTTATTTTATGTATGTGAGTACACTGTAACTGTCTTCAGACACACCAGAAGAGGGCATCAGATCCCATTACAGATGGTTGAGAGCCACCATGTGGTTGCTGGGAATTGAATTCAGGACCTCTGGAAGAGCAGTCAGTGCTCTTAACCACTGAGCCATCTCTCTACCCATCCCCAAATTCCTGGGTCTCTTGCCTTCACCTTCTGTGTTTCTAAAGTTCTAAATGTGTGCTCTTAGGAACAAAATATAGGCATTTACAGACATGCGAAGGTGCTGGTTTTTTTCCTTGTATTTTTTTGCTTTCCAAATTTAGCCTATCTGACAAAGAATCCATAAAATAAGAAAAAAATCCCAAGAAATAGCCATCCTATTAAAACAAAACACCCAAACATCAGTGGGATCTGTAAGCATGTCAGCAGTTGAGGTGGAACACACATGTCATCCCAGCACTTGGGATGTGGAGGCAGAAGGATCAAGAATTCAAGGTCAGCCTCAGCTACATTGGGATCTACAACAACTCCAACTACATGAAGCCGTGCTCTTAACCAATGAGCCATATCTCCAGCCCTACTTTTTTTTCCTTTTAAGTTAACTATATGTTATTTATTTTGTCATAGTGACAAAAATTAAAATGGACAGAAAGGTGAGGGACAAGATGGCTCAGCAAATAAAAGCAAGCCTGGGAACTTGAGTTTGATCCTTGCATGATTCCTCCTCACGATGTCCTCTACATGCATGTCATGGCACGTGTCGTCATCATAGTTACTTATACACAGTGAATTCGTTTTTAAAATTAGAATGTAAATATACACTTCAGGAAAGATTAGCAGCTCTATTTGAAAGTCTTAACTCCCACAAAATATGAATTTTCAATTTATATTATATTTTAATTCTTATTATACATATTAGTTATATGAATTTATGGGGTTCACTATGGTATCTCCATACTGTCCACTGTCCACAGAGTATATTCTCTCATCCTTACAGGACAAAGAAGAACTAATTATTTTATGCATGTGTTTGTGTGGGGGTATGTGCCCTTGAGTGAAGGTGCCCTCGGTGGCTATCGGACCCCATGTAGCTGAAGTTACAAGTAGCTGAAAGCCACACTGACAACTGGGAATCAAACTTGTGTCCTGTACAAGATTAGTACACACCTTAACTGACAAGCCGTCTTTCCAGTACCACTGCCCCCACTTTTAAATTGATCCCATTGGAAAGTACATGCAATGCTCGCTGTTCTGTGACTGGCTTACTACGTGAGGGGGCAGGCAGGGCTGGAGAGATGGTTCAGAGGTTAAGCACACTCTGCTCTTCCAAGGTCCTGAGTTCAATTCCCAGCAACCACATGGTGCCTCACAGCCATCTATAATGAGGTCTGGGGACCCTCTTCTGGCCTGCAGGCATACGTTCGTCTGTGTATCACTGTTCTGTTATGACTTACTTACCATGATGCCGTCCAGTTGTGTTAATCTTCCTGCCAATGGTAGGACTTCATTTTTATAATGCTCTGTTATGTATGTCCTCCGTAGGGTTACTGTTGCCGTGATGAAACACCACGAGCAAAGCAACGTGGGGAGGCAAGGGTTTATTATGCTTCTGCTTCCTCATCACGGAAGGAAGTCAGGACATGAACTCAAACAAGGCAGGAACCTGGAGGCAGGAGCTGATACAGAGGCAATGGTGGGATGCTGCTTACTGGCTTTCTCCCTATTGCTTTTCTCAGTCTGCTTTCTTATAGAACCCAGGACCAACAGCCCAGGGTTGGCACCACCCCCATTGGGCTAGGGCTACACACATCAATCACTAATTAAGAAAATTACTACAGGCTGCCTGATCTTACTGAGGCATTTTCTAATGGGGATTCCCTCCTTTAAGATGACTTTAGCTTGGGTCAAATTGACATAAAACTAGCCAACACAGTATACATGTGTGTGCTTTCTTGCCTATTTATCTGTTGGTAGACAGTGAAGCCAATTCCCTATCTAGGCCACTGCCAATAGTGCTGGTAAACATTTTAGTAACTGATAGAATAGTAAAATCATTGCTTTCTAAAACCACCATCTCAAAACTGAATTCATTTGTAATCTGTGGGCTGATTTATTGCATTTTTCCTTTTCTAAGTTGATTTGTAATACAATTTCGTGCACATCTTTTGTGTATCTTTTGTAAATATCTTCTCTGATATTTACAGATTAGCTATAATTATAATTAGCTAGTCTGCTATCAAAAATTCATCCTGCTCCTTTTTGTTTTGAGAAAAGGTCTCACTGTGGTTCGCACTGACATAGAACTCTTGGCGTAGACCACATGGCCTACAACTCATAGAAATCTTCCTGTCTCTACACCCCACCGTGCCACCGTGGTCACTCTCCTTATTTAAGATTTATTACATACACATCGTTCTGCCTGCGGGCCAGAAGAGGGCACCAGACCTTATTATAGATGGTTGTGAGCCACCATGTGGGAATTGAACTCAGGACATCTGGAAGAGCAGACAGAGTGCTTAACTCTGAGCCATCTCTCCAGCAAACCACCTCCCCTCCCCCCCACCCGTCTCCTTTTATAAATAGGAATATTACTCCTAAAAACGATGACCTTATCACTTACAAACCTAAAGGTAGTGTCTTTTAGAAACATGTTCAATTAAAAAAAGAGAGAGCTTTCAATAATCTTCATATTTTTCCCTCTCATCAGTCTTTTTAAATTCTCCTTCAGGGTAAATGCAGACTAAGGAAAAGGGAAAACTCCCAAGTGGAAGGGACTTCAAGGAAGGAACACCTTTTTAATATTCTTTAAAGTGAGTATCTATCTATCTATCTATCTATCTATCTATCTATCTATCTATCTATGTGTGTGTACATATACATGTATGTATACATATATATTTAAATTTTTTAGCTCTTTTACCTCTTTTTGCTATGGGAGATTTAATCTTGGGCCTCATGCATGCTAGGAAGCATGGCGTTACTGAATTAGGTCACCAGGTCTCTGTTTACTCTTTGAGACAGCATCTCATTAAATGCAAAGGATGCTCTTGAAATAGCTGGACTAACAGGCCTTCCACCAGGCTTAGGTTGTCATCCCTTAAAATTTTTATTATTACTGTGTGTATGTGTACAAGTGTGCACATACATGCCACAGTGGAGGTGTGGGCAACTTATTGGGGTCAGTTCTCTTCTGCCACCTTTAGGTGGGTTCTGGGGGATCAAACTCAAGATTGTAGATTGTAAGGGGGCAACTGTCTTTACCCACTAGGCCCTAGCTCTGACCCTAACATTTTTTTTTTTTTTTGGTTAAAAATAAAAATTCTGAGGTGATCTCCTACCCTATAATGTCATGGTTAAAAGTCTTGGCGAGATTCAGGCACTGTAATCTTTTGTTTCCCAGACTCTAGAACTGTGAGAAATAATTTTCTATGTAAAAAGCTAAGCGATGTTTTGAAGTCACAGAAGTTTGAACGTATGTAAAGTCCTCATGCCTGGAATTAGCTCCTGCCTCAGTCTCTGGGAGCGCTGGCATCACAAGGGTGTGCTTTACTGTTATTCTTGCTAAAACTACATGGAATATTTACTATAGAAACAAAAGAGGAGAGCTATTGGGTTAAGTCCTGGTGTAAAAAAGTGGTCATGAGAATTTTGAGGAAATACATTATTGTAAAGTACTGATTTCAATAGTTGGTGGGTCCCTTCATCGGAGAGTAAAAGAGAAGCCAGCGTCACTGGCCTCGAATGTGAATGGTATCTGGATGGACTAATCTTGAGTGTAGCCTTTGGTTTGAGGCTTGTAAGGCATGAAAGTTTTCGAATACGCACATCCGTGTATATGTATATAATGTATATGTACATATCTGAAACCCTGTCCTGTCCCTGTTCTCAGTAACGTTCTCGGAGGGTCCGGGAGGAGAGAGGGCTCACCCTCGCAGGGTTCCTGGCGAAGGGCCAAACTGAAAAGGCAAGGCTGCTTCCTCATTGCCTAGAGCTAGCCGCTCCCGGCCTTGGGATAATTTCTGCAAGCCATTGCTAGCCTTTTAGGCCTCTTGGACACTTTCACAAAGCCAGACCTGAACAAAGTGAAATGCTTTGGTGAACTTTGTCAGGGGTCCCTTTACCGAGGCTACTGGAAACATTAGTTAGAAACAATTCTCGGGCTTATGAGTTGACACATCTTACACAAGCTGGGTCCGTGTGAACCATGGAGGCTGAGAGGTTTCTTTCTTTCTTTCTTTTTTTTTTTTTGGTTTTTCAAGACAGGGTTTCTCTGTGTAGCCCTTGCTGTCCTGGAACTCACTCTGTAGACCAGGCTAGCCTCGAACTCTCGAACTCTCGAACTCGGAAATCCACCTGCCTCTGCCTCCCAAGTGCTAGGATTAAAGGCGTGCGCCACCACCGCCTGGCGAGAGTTTTCATTACATGTCTTCTCTCCTTTAACCGTTTACTAGGCAAAGGGCCAGTTCTACCTTAAAAAAACAGATGGCTCTGGACTTTTCCGGACGTGGTACGACCGCCGCTTTCTCTTTACGTGTTTCCGCTTCTGCTCATGTGACCAGGATACAGCGTCCACTCCTTCCTATCGCCGCTCCTTCTTGGTCCGCAGACCGACACGTCACTGCTCGGCTCTCAACCAAACTTTTCAGAGCAAGCTCTTTCCGCGCGTTTCGCTCCCGCGCCGGCCTATCACAGTTCGGTGGGAACTCATAGTCACGCCTCTCAATGGGTTGAATGACAGCCACATTGTCCACTCAAAAGGAGGAATACAGGCTTGACCCACGCCCTCGGAATGACAGACAGAACCGTTATCCTGTCGGTCCCCCGAAGTGTGTATTGACCGAGGCCAGCCAATGCGGAGAGGGCAGGGAGGCGGGCCTTGACTGCTGTCGGGGTCGGGTGCGCCGCTGAACGGATGGCAGGGGGAGCAGAGTGGTTTCCTGAGGAGCATCCGTGGGGTGAGAAGGCTGTGGGGTAGCGCTAGAGGATTAGCGGCAAGTGCCGCGCCGGGTGTTGGAGAGCCCGGACGAGGTGCTGGAGGCAGGCCTGTAAAGGCGGGGAGCAGAGCCTTCCTGCGGCCTGGCGGAGGAGGGGGCGTGGGGTGTGAGGTGGGGCCGTCCAGCCACTGGGGCACCGGACGATCGGAGGAAGGGTCTTGGCAGAGCAATGCACTCTTGGCCATGAGGGCGTGGGACACACGATCCCGGGTCTAGCTTGGAAGGGCCACGTGGAGTGTGCTGATGTGGTGGGGGTCAGGGGTCAGTGAGGGTGCACAAGAGGACGTGGAAACGTTATGTGGGAAAGCCACCGAGGCTGCAGCCCTGGCATTTAGAGCTAGGGTTAGTATGTCAAGGCTTGCAGACGACAGATGATGAGCAAATTAGAAAAGCGGTTTTTTTTTCCACTTTCTATAACTTATCGGTGTGTGGGGATTACTTAACCGGAACGGGTTGAGAACTCGCAGTATTCAGCTTTAAATTACTAGCCGCCTTCACTCGGTTTTTAAGTCCAGGTTTTAGCACTCTCTCTGCCTTTGCTTACTCTTCAGGTGTGTGGATCTTATCAGCTCAGTGGTGTTTAGTTTCCGTGTCACCTATCCCCGGGGGACAACCACAAACCCCAGAGATGGGACTGAGTTGTTCACTTCCCGGAAATTGTGCGTGATAAGCCTTCCCTTTGGAATTATAATTAAACACATCAAGCCAAACTGCTCTTTTGGTACAGTTTTTTAAAGGAAAGGTGTTAGACTTCTCAGTGTGACTCAGAGAAACCCTGTCTCGAAAAAAAAAAAAAAAAAAGCTTGTAGCCAAACAATTGAGGCTTAGATTTAGGGCTGGATATTATGTCCAGTCAGCCATGATTTCTAGATTTCTACTTTCACTTCTGGAAGTAATGTTCATTACCATCTTCCCTCCCTCCGCACTTTCCTTCCTGCCCAAATTACTTCCCTCTCTTTTCCCGAACCCTCAGCCCTACCCCCTTAACTTTTTCTGTGGCAAGGTCTCACCTTAACCCAAACTGAACTTAACTCTGTATCCATGTTGAACTCACTCGGTGTCACCAAGTGTTGGGAATCTACACATGGGCTAGTGTACGCAGCTTCTCTGTTCTCCTCCCACGTCTACTCATGCATTTTCATGATTGCTTCCTTTTTCCCCTTTAACAAGTACCTTTGTTTGTTTTTCACCTCCTTTCTTCTGCCCCCTTTCCCCTCCACTTCTGTTTCTGTCTGATCCTGGTGTCTTACTTTTGCTATCTGTACTCGGTAGCTGTGCAAGTATGAAACAGTTATGGGTGGAATAGTTGTGATACTGAAGATGGAAACCAGGGCCCTTTTGCCTTTTAGGCAAATGCTCTGTTGTTGAATTACATGGTCAGCCCTTTCAAAGAATTTTATTTTGAGACCAGACTCTTACTAAATTGGCTAGTCTGGTCTGGAGCCTTTGATTCTTCCGCCCCAGTCTCTTGAGTACCTGGGATTATAGACATGTATGGAGTGGTATGTTTTGATTACTCTTTTTGGTCTTTTATTTTTGGCAGGGAAGGCAGTATAACTAGGTCACTAGGTAACCATGACTGGCCTACATGTGCTTTGTAGATCAGACTGGCCTGCCTTTGCCTTCTGATTATTGGGATTGAAGGCGTGAGCCACCAAGCCTGGTCCTACCTTTTTCGACTTGACATATAAACTTAGTGTTTGCTTCCTTGCCTGTACATCAGTCTGTGGTCCCAGATTGGGTTACCTCTATGGTGTTTCTGTAGCTCATAAATACTTTGTGATTCTTAACCATCATAAAAGATTAAAGCTAGTTTAAGTAAGTTTAGGGTATTCAATATCTTACAGTCTTGACTTTTTCCATTTTAGGCATTTGAATATCGTCAGTTGCTACCCATTGATGTCAAGATGACTAAGCTTGGATTTTTGCGATTGTCCTATGAGAAGCAGGACACACTTCTAAAGCTTCTCATCCTGTCAATGGCTGCTGTGTTATGTGAGTCTGTCGTAGTTTCCCCGTGATGCTGCTGTTTGCCTTCTAGTCTTTAATAGCATGCCACCAATTAAAACGTTCGTTTTCTGGGTTTTGCAGCTTTCTCTACTCGTCTCTTTGCTGTGCTGAGATTTGAAAGCGTCATCCATGAGTTTGACCCGTGAGTGCCTTTGCTCTGATATTATTTCCTTTTAGAGACATTGAAGTTCGTGGGTTTTATATGTTTAAGCTCCAAATAACTCTTCAGTGCTGGAGATTATTTTCAGCACATTTAAAGGAAGACTTTTTCAGTGTTTCCCAGTGAGTCTTAGGAACTCAAAAATGTAATAGACTGTTGTAAAGCCTTCCTACTTGAGGTCTGGCTAAGCTGGCTAGGCTAAGAGAAATATGGCTTTTTATTTTGATCAAGTACAGTAATACACCTTAAGGGAAAGAGTCCTGGAGTATATTTAAATCTATAAAGAATATCACAAGTCATGAACTTGAGATCATAGCTTCTTTTCAATTTATTTTTATAGTAGAAATTGGGCGTATTGTTACATTTGAAGGCATTAAAGATATTAAAGCTATGCATGTCCGGCATTGTGACAAATACTACAATCCTGGCCTGTATAGTGAGAGTCTGTCTCAAAAGATTAAAAAAAAAACAATACAAATTAAAAATAAAAAACTTGGAGCATGGTGGCACATGTCTTTAATCCTAGCACTTGGGAGGAAGAAGCAGGCAGATCTCTGTGAGACCAAGACCAGGTTGGTTTACATAGTGAGTTTCAGGCCACAAGCCTACAAGGCAGTATAGTGAGGTCCTGTCTCAAAAGAACCAAACGAAATGAAGCAAAACCCACTGTGAGGCTGGAGAGACGGTTAAGAGTACATCCTGCTCTTGCAGAGGACCCACATTTAGTTTCCAGCACCCAGGTAAGATGACTCTAGACTACCATGAAGCTTCTGACACTTTCAGACACCTTCATAAACACATAATTAAAAAAATATATTAAAAAAACCCTCCCAAGCCCTAAATAAAAATTCTTAAGATTTTGTTTATTAGCTTAAAAAAGATACAATGAAGCCTTGTAGTATTAGTAACTAGCATTACCTGCGGTGTGGTGGTGCATGTCTATAACCTCAGGACCCTAGGGGCCAAGAGGCAAGAGGATTATGGCAAGTTGGAAGTCAACTCTGGATACATAGGTCATCTCAAACAAACGAGAAAGAAAAACAACAACAAAAAAACCGAGTGGGCCAACAGTATGGGTCAGTGGGTAAAGGCACTTGCTGCTAGGATTCAGTTAGATCCTCAGAACTCACACGGTGGAGGGAAGGAATTAATACTTGAGAGTTGTCTGCTACTGTCCACATACAGTGTGACACCGCCTCTCCAAACCCCTTTAAAGAATTATTTTTAAATCTGATATTTTCTAAGCATCTTTTCTTTTTTTTCTGCTGAGCACTATTTACAGATTTTCTTTAAATCTCCAAAACAACCCAGTGAAATACAGGCACAGTTCTTTTTTCTGTTGATGAGAAGACTGGGACTGTGTCCACAGTTACACATTTACTAGATGGAAGCCACGGTTTGAACGTAGGTTTGTCTCACTGCACAGACTGGGGTCATTGTTAATATTGGCTAAAGTTAAGGCTGATGATAAAATTGGAAGTGAGAGTTACAGACTTTCGACTTATCAAAAGCTTAAAAATAACATGTTCATATTTAATGACATTGCCTTAAAAGTTTAAAGTCTGTACTTGGTTTGCAGACTTGTCATTTTGTTTTGTGTTTTAAAGAATTTGGAGGTCTTGTATGTATTTTCTTTGGGGAGTTCTGAAATGATTTTACTTTTTTTTTTTTTTTTTTTTTTTTTAATAAATGAGGTAACTTTCTGTGCTGGTTAGTTTTGACTGTTAACTTGACACACTAGAATCACCTGGGAAGAGAATCTTTTTGTGGTTGTTTGTGTTTCGAGACAGGGTCTTAGTTTGTCACCCTATCTTTCCCAGAATTCTATGTAGACCAGCCTGGCCTTGAAGTTACAGAGATCTGTCTGCCTGCCTCTGTGTCCTTCTCACTGGAACTAAAAGTGTGTGCCACTACTGTAGCCTGGGAAGAGAGTCTGGATGAGTTATCTACATCAGGTTGGCTTGTAGGCATATTTGTGGGGGACTGTCTTGATTGTTATTTAGTCAGGAAGACCCCGTATATGGCATCATTCCCTAGGTCTGAATGGTTTAAGAGAGAGATAACTAAGAACAGGCAAGCAGGCAGACAGGTAGGGAGGCCTGTATGTATTAGCTTATTTCTTTGCTGTTGCCTGTGGATGTGACTAGATTTTAACTTCGTTGCTAGCATAGACTGTTACCTGGAATTGTAAGCCAAATACTTGCTTTTTCCCCTTTGTTGTTTTTGTCTTTATCTAAATACATTAGTTTTTTTGTTCTTCAGCTTTTAAAAATAAGTAATAGTTGTGTCATTTCTCTACTCCCTGTCTGCCCTCTAGCTCTTACTGTTTTTTGTCAGGGTACTTTATCACAGCAACAGAAATGGATGTAGAACACATACCTTTTTTTCTTTTCTTTTTTGTTTGCTGTTTTGAGATAGAGTTTTATGTAGGGTAGCCTCTAACTGTTCTGTAGCTGGCTGAGCATGCCTTTGAACTCCTTATCCTCCTGTCTCCTTCTCCCAAGTGCTGGGATTACAGGTATGTGCCCCATGTCTAACTTCTGTCTCTTGATCAAACTGTTAGAGCTTCATTCTTAGACTTTCTGTATGGGCAGATATTGAGGTGAGCTAATCAGGGAAAGGAAAGTGTTTGTTGTAGAACGGGAAGACACTGTACAAATGATTTGAGTATTCAAATCCCCTTTCTTAGTCTGCCTCCTACATGTAGGTAATGTCCGTGATCACAGTAACATGTCGACTGCCTTCTAGAGCCCTCATCCTCTGTCTGTGGCAGCTACCCCGGAGGACAGGGCTTGGTGCTAGTCTATGTTTCTCCTTACCTCACCTGTCAACACTTGACTGACCAAGAAGAAATACAGGGTTAGGGAGGTTGGCCGGGAAGTGATTATTCCTAGTTAGAGACCTCATTTCTTTATTTGATTTTATTCCACCTCCCTCTTCCTTTCACTTAAGGAAAGGCTCTAAAATCTGTGTTCATGATTAGGTTTTTTTTTTTTTTTTAGTTTTTCAAGACAGGGTTTCTCTGTGTAGCCCTGGCTGTCCTGGAACTCACTCTGTAGACCAGGCTGGCCTCGAACTCAGAAATCCGCCTGCCTCTGCCTCCCAAGTGCTGTGATTAAAGGCGTGCGCCACCACCGCCCGGCTCATGTTTAGTTCTTAACATTTCTTGTTAAACACTTTTTATGTAATGTTATGCTAGGCTGCATCGTAGGTGGTGTTCACATATATTTGAAATAACATGAGTGGACCTTATTAGAAGTTTAAACACTCATTAGGAAGTTCTTGTTACCATGTGGTTAACTTTTTCTCCATTGTTCATATGGTGTTATGCCAGTCTTTATAGGTGTTCATGACTTAGAGGTTTCTATGTGTCCTTGTGGTAGAGGAGTAAAAACCATGCTTGTCACTTGAAAAGGGTCAGATCTACTAGTTCTTGCCTCAGAAGTCTTGTGTTTTGGGTACTTTTGCTGGCTTTGTTATCTGTCATAGGCTAGCGTCTTAAAGTGTCCTGTCTCAGTGCTTTGTTGTGGACATTAGATTTCTAGTTATTTCCTTCAGTGAACAGCAGTGCTGTAATTGATTCAAGCGTGGCATAGAAATAGAGATTTAAGTTAGTATAAATGATCTTGATGACTTAATTTTTAGTAGTAAACTTTTTTCAAGTAATGCAGTATCCTTCAGTGTCATAATCTGAAAAACAGGCTCATTGCAAACTAGGACACATTCGAGAACAGAGATTCGGGGGACATTTCTTTTCTTTCTTACTCTAGGTACTTTAATTATCGGACTACCCGGTTTCTGGCTGAGGAGGGGTTTTATAAATTCCATAACTGGTTTGATGACCGGGCTTGGTACCCTTTGGGCCGAATCATTGGAGGAACAATTTACCCAGGTGAGGGGGACAGGTTTTGTTGTGTTTGTAAGGATGGTGTGGTGTTTGTATGCTGTGAAACAACTCTTTCTGTTTGTTCCAGGATACTTGTAATTTCATTCTGATTACAGATTTCCAAAAGTTGATCTTATGAAGAACATGTGTGGGATGGTGGAGCTGGGGTGAGGGGAGGATGTCTTACACATTCTGGATCTGTGATCAAATCCTTCATAGAGAAGTGTAGACATTTAGTACAGTCACTGTGTTAGTATTCTGATGGTTTGTCAAGACCTGTTGACGTTTGGGTTGACGCTGTCCTGTTCTTTTCTTACCAGGACAACCTAATGCGATTGCTTTTTCCTGTTCCAGGCTTAATGATCACGTCTGCTGCAATCTACCATGTCCTCCATTTCTTCCACATCACCATTGACATCCGGAATGTCTGTGTCTTCCTGGCCCCTCTCTTCTCCTCCTTCACCACCATTGTTACGTACCACCTTACCAAAGAGCTCAAGGTAAAGGACACGAGAGGCAGGAAGCTTGGGACTGAATGTTGTTGAATCTCCAGTAAGTACGGAAGGGGTGGAGGAATCTAGAGCCTTAGAAGGGCAGGAAGTATTGAGGGGAGATGTGTACAAGTATCTGCTTACACCACAGGTAGTGACCTAAGCGACACACCAAAGGAAGGACACCTCCAAAGTTCAACTTGGACAACTGATGAATTTTATTGGGGTTGAAGAAATATGAGTGAGGGATTACTCAAATAAAAGCAGAAATGACTCAAAAAATGACAGACACATCACCAAAACCCCATCCCAGCATGGGTAGCAGCTTACAAAACAGCTGGAATCCCAGAGCTTACTGCATGACTTGCAAACAGCTTGACAGATTGGACAGTGTTTCTTTCAGGCACCTCAGTTTGTCTGGGCCTCTTCCAGGCAGCCTGGCAGGTCTGAGCCTCTTCTAGGCTGCCCTGCTTGTCTGAGAATGTCTTTGAACAGTTCTTACTGTTTATATAAACTTGGTCCAGGGGCCTTGTGACTCTGGTTTTGTTTCAGGGAATTCCTAAAGCCTTTTATTTATTTATGTTCTGAGTTTAAGGCACTTCCCTGCGTGGTGGAATGACTCCCTTTAAAACAGTGGTTCTCAATCAGTGGGTCATGAATCCTTTGCAAATCTCTGTCTCCAAAAATACTTATATTGCAGTTTATAACAGTAGGAAAATTACAGTTATGAAGTAGCAACAAAAAATAATCTTATGGTTGGGGTCACTGCAACATGAACTCTGTTAAACAGTTGCAGTATTAGGGAAGGTTGAGAACCACTGCTGTAGAATTTCCCTTTAGGGTGGCTTGTTAGATCTTGAAGGAAATTGGAAATTGTTACACCTTGGGGAGCCAGAGGCTAAAGACAACATGTGTTGAGCTGAATTAGTGGATAACACGTGCTGTTTTATCATTTGCAACTGTTTGCCCTCATAAGGGGACATTTGAAATTCAAACATAAATTGCTATGTAAAGAAATAATAAAGCAGTTAATATATATAAAATTGTTATGTTTAGATTTTTAATCTCTCACCAATATAAAAAAGAAGGGAAAAAAAAAGCTACACATTTTCCACAGTGTTTATTTCTACTGGAAATAGGCATTTGGAAATTATTTGTTGATAACATTTTTAAAAGCATTTTGAAATCCTACAGCATTTTGGCTTGGTAATGCTGATTCTCCCTTTTCAGGTTTCTTGCTGACCTTGATTCTTTGAACTCTATTCTTAGTCTGTGGCCTTAGTGTTAGGGTCGTACCTCAGAAGTGACCAAATAGCAGGAGGGCTTGAGAAGCCACTGTCAGTGTGGAAGGCTTTATCCTTTAGAGTGATAATCAGCAAACAAGTATGTTTGTTTGTTTGTTTGTTTGTTTTTGAGTATGGTTTTATTCTGACCTTAAAGGTTGCCTGGTAACCCTCCAACTTTATTGTCTAAGCTCCTGACCTCTTTAGTCTAGGTAGATTATCACTTTTTATTGAGTTGTTTGGAGATAAGATTTTCAAATGGAGCCCAGGCTGGCCACAGAATTGCCATCTTTCTGTCTCTGCTTTCCAAGAGCTGGGGTTACATGTGTTTGCTATCATGCATTGTTCTTTTTTAACTTAAATAATAACTTTATTCCTTTGTTGTAGATTGGCTTCTTTGTGATGTGTAGTCACTGTTAGAGGAGGGCACTAATGAGCCTGTAGCTAAACAAGCTATTCTGCTGCAAATTCTCTGATTTTGTTTTTGTTCTGTTTTTAAACAGACTCTTACTGTATAGTTCTGACTGACCTCAAACACACAGAGATTTATCTGCTTCTGCCTCTACCTCTGGAGTGTTGAGATTAAAGGTGTGTGTCATCATACCCAGCAGGCTCTGGTTTTGACAGCTCATGTGATTGTTGTTATTATTTTGAGGCAGGGTATCATGCAGTCCAAGCTAATCTTGAACTCACTGCATAGCCAAGCATGACCTTGAATGTCTGGTCTTCTTACATAATCCCATCAGCTCTCAGATTCTGGGATTATGGGCATGTGCCACCCTGCCTGGTTTATGTGGTGCCAGGGATCAAAGAAGGCTTTCATGTATGCTAGGCACATGAACACATGACCAGCTGAGTTACAGCCCTAATTACCCTCCTTTTACAGCTTCTATTTTTGTTTGTTTTAGAAAGAATCGTGCTCTTACTTAGGTTGGTCTTGTACTTGCCTATTTCTGCTGAGATCACAGGCCTGTTCACTGTACCCAGCAGCTCGTATGATGTATTAGTCTCAGTGTGTCTGTACACTGTTAGAGTTGATAGTCTTATTCAGAAGTGACTATGAAGGGTTGGGCTTTGTTGTGCTATGTGCATTTCCAGCACCTCATATTGACCTTGAAAATTGTCGATGCTCTCAGTGTGTCCCTGATAGACAGAGTAGACCAGTAGATCCTCGGTTATCCTAGAGGTATATCAGTGTTAACTTCTGCTCTTCTAGGATGCAGGAGCCGGGCTTCTTGCTGCTGCCATGATTGCTGTAGTTCCTGGGTATATTTCTCGATCTGTAGCTGGCTCCTATGATAATGAAGGTAAGATTTAGAATGCTGAAGGGGATGTGTTTATTATCTACTGAAGTTTCTCAAGGTGCTGAGTTTAGGTTCCTCTATTGCTTAGCAGTAATAAAACTGGAGTTGGTGAGCAGATTAGAAACGGGATCTTAGACAGGTATCTCCTCCTGTCATACGCTCTAGTGAGGTAGTTGGGAACTTTAAAACTTAATATTGGTTAAGTGTGTATCTACATGCATGCGTATCCATGCTTTTATGTCAGGGTGAGAGGAGAGGCTGCAGCTGTCAGTTCTTTTCTGTCACGCGGTTTTCAGGGATTGAATTTACGCCATTAGACTTGGGAGCAGGTGGCTTTGCAAGGCGAGCCATCTTGTCAGCGCTCGCTGGGGACTTCCTCACAGGCCTGTGCTCCCTCTCTGGACTCCTCACACTTCACTGTTGTCTTAACGTTATAACCGTTGTTCCTAATTTTCTTTGTGTGTCTTTAAATTTATAGTGATTTTTATTGGCTTATTTTTAAAAGCACCATGTTTTTGTTGAAACATATTGGGAAACATGTTACTTGTTATAAAGATAGGTAATGAATTAGATTATTTTGTTCTATAATTAAGAAATTAAGAGATAGGAGCTGTCGTCTCGTAATCTGTTAAGGAATTTAATAATGGATCTATAAAAATAACTCTAGCTGAGTATGGTTGTGTTTACCTATAATTCTGACACTTAAGCAGGAAGATGGGGGTTCAAGGACATCCTTGACTATACAGTGAGCTTGAGGCCAGCCTGGGCTGCATAAGACATTGTTTCAGAAAGTAAAAACAAGCTAAAAAAAAAAAAAAACAACAACAACCCAAAGCTGGGCCTGATACCACATTCCTTAATCTTAGCATTCAAAGTGAAAAGGGAGGGTACTGAGTTCAAGTCCAGCCTGGGCTTCATGGTGTGAGTCCAGCTTTGGCTACATACTGAATTTTAGACCAGCCAGGCTGCCTCGCACAAATCAACATTTTTTTTTTTTTTAAAGCTCTCTAGCATTCTGCTTTGGGAATGTCTAGTGAAGAGAAATTAATTTGATTTTGGGTATCAAAGGAAAGCTTTTTGGAAGTGGTTGAAGTTGATCTGGACCAAATTTGGGAATCCATGAGGCAGTTTTTTCCAGGGTCAGGGAGTGTGTGTGTGTGTGTATGTGTTTTTGTGGGGGGTTGGGGGGGTGAGTTGAATCTAGGGCTTTAGGAATGCTAGACAAGTGTTCTACCTTTGAGCCAGAGCCCCCAAGTCATCCACCGGTCAGCTGTTAAGGAGAGCAGCATTCAGAATAAAAGGTATATCGGTTAAGACTAGCTAGATTTACTACCCACAAGTAAAACACTGTTATGGCCAATATTTTCCAGTTGCTTTCTGTATTCTAAGGGGATTTATGTGCACTGCATTTTTTTTTTTTTACAATGACGTCAATAAATAGGTATTTATTGTAGACTCCATGGGCTGGAGGTGCAGCTTGGTGGATGAGGCTTTGTCTAGCATGCATGAGGTCCTGGGTTCAATCCACAGCACTTGGGGGATAAAATTATACTCAAAACACGGGAAGTAAAGGCAAAGGGAAGTAAAATAATTTGCCTAAAATTATACGTATACTGAGTAGTAGTTTAGAAACGTGAATCTAGTTAGTGTGCTCCAGAATTGTCTTCTTTTTTTGTTACCTTTTCCATTGATTGTATATATGTAAGTGAAGGTGCCTGAAGAGGACAGAACTAGAGTTACAGATGGTTGTGAGCCAGCAGATGTGGGCGCCGGGAACCACATTTGGGTTGTCTGAAACAGTATTTGTTCTTAACCATTCAGCAATTTCCAGTTCCTAGAAAAGTAGTTTTGTTTTTTCCTGGGTTGGGGGTGTGTTGAGACAAGGTTTCTCTATGTAATCCTGGCTGTCCTGGATCCCACTCTGTAGATGAGGCAAACCACAAATTCAAAGATCTGCCCTCCTCTGCCTTCTGAGTGCTGGGATTAAAGGCTCAGCTCCTAGAAAAGTGTTGTAAAATAGTGTCAGTATGGCGTCTGAGTCTCTGTTGTTTTCTGCAGGAATTGCTATCTTTTGCATGCTGCTTACTTACTTCATGTGGATCAAGGCAGTGAAGACTGGTTCCATCTATTGGGCTGCCAAGTGTGCCCTTGCTTATTTCTACATGGTAACTTTGTGTGTGTGTGTGCGTGTGTGCATGCATCCGTGTGTGTATGTTCTTTGTGTCTCTTTGTCCCTGTCTTTGTTCTGGTGCACGGAATTGAGCCCATGGTGTGCATCTTATTTATCACTGTGCTACGTCTCTAGCTTCTCTACATATTTTTAATTTTAAAATTAAATTCTCTTTCCCCCCTAGTTGTCTTTGATATGGGGTCTCATGTGTCCTAGGTTGTTCTTAACCTGTGGCTGAGGATGACCTGCTGATCCTCCAGGCTCTGCTTTCTGAGAGCTGGGATTGCTGATGTACCATAATGTCTGGGTTACTCAATGCCTGGGATTGAACCCAGGGCTTTGTGTATGTGTGGCAAGCTCTCTGCTAGCCTAGCTACAGCCCTAGCCCTCTGTTTTTCAGTCTGCTAATAAAAGGTTTCAAATTCTTTATTATTGTATTTCCTATGGGTACATGTTGGTTTCCTCATTTTTGTTATTTCCTATAAAAATTTCCTTTTCTTTTTTTTTGGTTTGGTTTTTTGAGACAGGGTTTCTCTGTGTAGCCCTGGCTATCCTGGAACTCACTCTGTAGACCAGGCTAGCCTCAAACTCAGAAATCCGCCGGTCTCTGCCTCCCAAGTGCTGGGATTAAAGGCGTGCACCATCACTGCAAAATTTCCTTTTCTAATACATATTTTTTTCTGTATGATTCTACATCTATCTCTTGACTTTCTTTACATCTCTGCTTCTACTTAGATTTTGTGTGTGATGTAATTGGTTTCATCCATATTTACCTTGTAGCTTGAGGTGTCTTGGGTCACACTTGAGCATGGTGTGAGTAGTGCTCAGAGGGCCTGTTGTTTGTATCCTCTCGCAGGTCTCGTCATGGGGAGGCTATGTGTTCCTGATCAACTTGATCCCTCTTCACGTCCTGGTGCTAATGCTTACAGGCCGCTTTTCTCACCGGATCTATGTAGCCTACTGTACTGTTTACTGCCTCGGCACCATTCTTTCTATGCAGATCTCCTTCGTTGGTTTCCAGGTAAACCTTAGACTTTGCAGAATTTTCTGCAGCCAAATGTTTTTGAGTAGCTTTAACTGGATTGACTTAGGTTAGATTCTCTTAAGAACATGAATTGCAGTTTGTATTTTGGGCTGCTTTTTTTTTTTTTTTTTTTTTTAAGACGGTTCCATGAGGGGAGGTTTATTAAGAGAGTGGGAGAGTGGGAGGAGAGAGAGAGAGGGGTAGAGAGAGTAGAGAAGTGGAGGCCAGCCATGACCACGTGGAGAGAGGGGGAAGGGAAGGGGGGAGGGGAGACGGCAACCTGCAGGCGCGGGTCAGCGGAGCAAGAGAGCTTTAGGCTGCTTTTTTAACTGAAACAACAGACTCATTGATTACTAGAATCTGCTTCTATCAGCATGTCAGCATTTGCTGCGTGCTCTTTGCATTTGGTGGCTCTTTGGCTTGGGTTTGTGAGGAGGAGGGCCAGTTCAGTTACACAAGGTCAAAGTTTAAACTTGAGGAAAGCTTAAAATCCCAGCCCTTTTAGTGGAATGACCCCATTTAGTGGCAGTGACTCTGATCACCTTAGTGGGGCCAGTGTGAGCTCTTGAAAAGTAAAGCACAAACCTTTATCCAAGTTACAATATACAGGTAACAGGAAACTATGTGTGTTTGGTTTCTTTGTTTGTTTGTTTTTGGTTTTTCGAGGCAGGGTTTCTCTGTGTAGTCCTGGTGTGTTTGGTTTCTTGTATAAAGTTCTCGTCTTTAGAGATAAGCAAATACTTGTAGTCACTTTGTATATAAAGTTTGCCGCTTGGTGGAATGTGTGGGAGATGTAATATGCTAACCCTTGAGGAAGCTGGACAGAGAGATAGGAGGTACTTCTGTTAGCTGTCTCCACAGTTCAGGAGTTCTAAAAGGTTGTTGCAGAGCATCAGTATTACGAGCGTTTGGACTCCGGTTAGCCATGCGGATTCTGTAGAGGGAGGACGGTGTCCTCCAATACTGAAACCCTGTCCAACAGACCACAGAATGAACAAACCAAGGACCCAGGCCAAGCCAAACTAAGTGAAACAATAAAAAAGACCTGTTGAATGAGACTCTGGGGTGGGGCTCAACAGCCTGCTTTAACGTTAGTTAAACCAGTTATGATGCTCACTCTGTTTATAGAACCGCTGTGTATGGAAAGAGTATTTAGTGCTGTGAGACATAGGTGCCATTGATTTGTCAGGTTTGGAGGTGATAGTTACATTGAATTTTATATGGTGAGTTTTAGGGGAAGGGAATTGGGGGAAAATGCCAGTCTACACTAAGGAAGTCGCCTGAGCAAATGCCATAGATATAATTATGGTGGTATACTTTGTTGTCCTCCAAACATTCCTTGGAAAATATGTTCAGTAAATTAAACCCCCTTATACTGGTCCTTGTTCATTTTGGAACTTCAGAACTCATTTGACTCCTTGAGCTAAATAGATCAGGAAAATGCCAACCTTGGATGAACTCATTCTGGGTTTTTTGTTTTGTTTTATTTTGTTGCTTTGCTCCATACCTACCTCCCTGCTAGCCTGTCCTTTCATCAGAACACATGGCAGCCTTTGGAGTGTTTGGTCTCTGTCAGATCCATGCTTTCGTGGATTACCTGCGCAGCAAGTTGAATCCACAGCAATTTGAAGTTCTTTTCCGGAGTGTTATCTCTCTGGTTGGCTTTGTCCTCCTCACCGTGGGAGCTCTCCTCATGCTGACAGGTAGAGGATTCTTTTACTTTTCTTTTTATTTCAAGCACTAAAGTTCTACTTAAAAAAATTAATTTAATTTTATGTGTATGGGTGTTTTGTTTGTATGAATGCCTGTGTACCATATGTGTGCCTGGCCCCTGAGGAGGCCAGAAGAGTGCTTCAGATGCCCTAGAACTGGAGTTGCAGACAGTAGTGAGCCACCACATGTTTGCTGAAAACTGAACTCCCATCCTCTGCAAGACCAGCAAGTGCTGGTGTCTCCAGTCCCGGAGTCCTACTTTTAAAACGTTCTTCTGCTTATCAGCCTGTTTGGATTCTGCATAGCAGGCTATCGTTGTAGAGTTGCTAAAGGACTGACTGTCTAGCCTTGCCAGTGTTTTTTCAGTTTTCTTTTCTTTCCTATTGGTTAGCATGTAGAAATCCTTACACCCTTGGTCATATTTTAAGTCATGACACTCGTCTCATTCTATGGAAACTAAATCATGGCTATTTAGTTTAGATGGTAGTCTCCATTTTTCATTTTTTTTTTAACTTATATTTCTCAGAAGCTAATTTGGTTTTTCTAATTTATAGCAGGATGAAGGACCTAGTTCACTTAGATTCTGGAGTTGGCCTTGATTGGTTGATTTGACCAGATCACACCTAAGGTCTTCCTTTCCAGGAGGCTTCTCTGACTCCCTCCCCAAACCCTGTGAATTTATGTATGCCCTAATTATTGCACTGGTTAAAATACTCTCAAGATAAAAAGAAAAGGAGTGAAATTCTGTAAATAAAATTTATGGTAGTAAAGCAAAAAAAGCCCTTTCTGTCTCAGAATTTTACTAAAATGTAGTGCTGTGGGCTGGTGAGACGGGTCAGTGGATGGAAGTGCTTTAGTGCAGCCCTGCCGTCCTGGGGTGAAGTGAGATGGGTCAGTGGATGGAGGGCTTTAGTGCAGCCCTGCCGTCCTGGGGTGAAGTGAGATGGGTCAGTGGATGGGAGGGCTTTAGTGCAGCCCTGCCGTCCTGGGGTGATGGTGAGACGGGTCAGTGGATGGAAGAGCTTTAGTGCAGCCCTGCCGTCCTGGGGTGAAGTGAGTAGCTGAGACAGTTCAGTCCCCAGGAGCTTGGAGGTAATCTAGTCTGCAATATGAAGTATGGCAGAAACAGTAAGGGAAATCCTGCTTCAGACAAGGAGGCTGGCAAGAACCGGCTCCCACAGTTGTCCTCTTCAGCACTCTGCGCGTATTCAGACACAGTACACAGGCACATGGATAATAAGGTGGGAGGTTGTAATTAGTTAGCATTGTAGCTCTATGTTCTAGGAGTAGATGATAAATATTGTCTTTTTTTTTCCCAGGAAAAATCTCTCCCTGGACGGGGCGTTTCTACTCTCTGCTGGACCCCTCGTACGCTAAGAATAACATCCCCATTATCGCCTCCGTGTCCGAGCACCAGCCCACAACCTGGTCCTCCTACTATTTTGATCTACAGCTCCTTGTCTTCATGTTTCCAGGTCTGTCTTGCATTTTGATTCCAATATATTTGAATTCTTGCGTAAGAATCACCCTTTGATTCCAATATATTAACTACTCTCTTAATTTTTTATATTTTTACATAATTTTATTGCAATACTACAATATATTTTGTATTTGTATTATAATAAATGTTACAATATTATAAAATATTACAATAATTTTATTATACATTTACAGATATCTTTATTTATATGTATAGGTAGGTATGTGCACATGCCAAGCGAGGGTGTTGGATACCCTGGAGGTTAGGGGCAGTTATAAGCTGTCCCATGTGGGTACTTATATGTAATATTCAGTAGCATATTTTTCCACCAACTCAGTTTTCTTCTTGGCCTGTTGAAGTTCTATGTTGAGTTTTTGTAGTTAAAGTAATTTGAATATTATACAAATAATAGAGATAAGTTAAAAAACACAAAAGAGCAAATTTGCACTAGATCTTACTACTTGTTCTACCACTGTTAACATTTTAAATTAGATGCAATGATGGATGTTTATCATCTTAGTACTTGGAAGCCTGAGGCAGGAGGATTGTGAGTTTGAGTTTGCCCTGGGCTACATAATGAAACATTCTCAAAAAGCCCTTACAAAACACCTCAGTGTCGGTATTAGTTAGCTTTGAGACAGGATCTTATTGTCTGTTCCTTGCTAACCTGGAACTGGCTTCAAACTTAGAGAGATCTGCCTGCTTCTGTCTTCCTTGCAAGGGCTGGGATTAAAGGCCTTGGATCAGTCCTTAGCTTCAGGGGACAAATGGTAACAATGTGTGCTGATTTAGAATTTATGGAAATATTTTTTCATGTATAGATGTGTAAAGATGTGGAAAAGGACAGGGACCTATAACTTCTTGTAGCGGCATCTTAATGTATTTCATACTTAAAATATGGTGTAATTAGCCATCTCTTTTGCTAGGCATAAGATCATTTGTGTTCATTTGGTATATAAGAATGTTGTAGTAAACATCTTTGCATATTTTTTCTGATCAATTCCTAGAATGAGTTACTGAGATAATGTGTGAAATCATCCAGTCATAATGAAGATATTTTTCCTCGTAGATGTCTGTCTGCAGGGCTCAGCTACTTATGTGTCTCTCCCTCTTTTGCAGTCGGCCTGTATTACTGCTTTAGCAACCTGTCCGATGCTCGGATTTTTATCATCATGTATGGTGTGACCAGCATGTACTTCTCAGCTGTCATGGTGAGGAGTCCCTCGGTTCTAGCAGCTTTATCCCTGACTCTGAGGTCCGGCCCTCTCCTCTCCTCTCCTCTCCTCTCCTCCCCTCCCCTCCCCTCCCC